TAAACAAAACAGGTTAGAATTTAAACTAAAGACACTCCTCAGTTTATTGAAAAGATTTGCCTTTTTTACACATATTACTTAAAACATCCAATTTGTATCGCAACAAAGGTCACTGCCTTGGTGAACTTTAAAGTTAGTTGCTTCTGAGAGATTTGAAGAAAGAAAAAAAGAGGAAGAAAACAAAACCAATATTATCAACACCCAAACCAGTTTCATTACCACACTTTATACGTTTAAAAATCAAGTGAAAGAATTTGCATGATTTTTCAGCATGCTAAGAGAGGGAGAGGTCACTGTGTAATACTACACATGGAAATATATGTAGATTTATTAGTAATAAGGGCCATATGAGAAGCTGACGCTTGTTTATTTGCAACTATTGCAAGAGTGTGAATGATTCCTACTCCATTATACAGGTCCTGGGTGACACACACACAAATCGAGTTGGCAGTTTCAGTACAGATGGATTATCTCAGCCCCAACTTCTTTTTCTCCTTCTGTTTCTTGCGCACGACCTCCAGATTACGATCCTTCCATGAACTCTTTCTCAGTTTGATGGGTCTGCTGCCCACATACCTCCCTAAAGATAAAGACAAGTGAATGTGTTTAGAGCGTGATCATAAAAAAAATATATATTTTTGATACAGTATCATATCAAAATGAAGCTAATTTTCACAATTCAGACCAATACAGATCTGACGAGTTTGAGTCAGGCTTTAGCCATTTTTACGCTCAATAAAAAGTCTAAATGAATAAGGTCCAGGATCATTTAACATACGTTTAATAAAGCTACTGCAGTGTTTCCCTAGTTATTTTTGCTCTGTATATTTCAGTCAAATAAAATGTTAAAAACATACACTGACATTCAAAAGTTTTTGAACAGCAAGGCTGCATTTATTTGATCAAAAATACATTAAAACTAGGGCTGGTTAAAAAATACTGATATCTCGATATTAATCGATTCTCATTTTTACAGAACGATATCGATTCTTAAAGGGGTGGTTCACTGGCTTTTTTTCTAGGCTTGATTGTGTTTATGTGGTGCAGTCTAACATGTGCTAATGCTTCGTTTTTTTTTTTTTAACTCATTATTTTTCACATAATTTACCTTTATTCCACACAGCTCTGTCCCTTCTCTGAGAAACGGGCTGATCTTTTCCTGTTTTTATGAAGCCCCGCCCTCAGATATAGGCGATGGGCTCTGATTGGTTAGCTAGCCCAGTGTGTTGTGATTGGCTAAACCGCCTCTAGTG